GGGGAAATTTCCTTTGGGTTGCAACCAATTCGGGGTGTGACCAGAGTCACGGAACGAATTAAGTGCGTAAACCGAGGTTCCACCTTTCTATATGCACCTTTCTCTTATCTCTTCATGACTAAGAATTAATATCAAAGGGAAGAACTAGAGACAGAGGAAAGGGAGAGAGGGATTACTGTATAGACAAACAGGTACACACACAAGGTCAGGAGCATGCAATTTCACTATATGGTTGCTCCTCTGACCTTGTTCCAGAAATTTAATCTCTTTCTGTGTCTCTTTTCTGTCTGGACACTTCAGCATGGAGATCCACCTCTGTTGATCTCATATCATCACCTTTGTTCTGATTCTGTTGGTATCTAGAATTGGATGAAAGACAATCTTTCCATTTACAGTGCAAAAACTAGGTACACCTTATGGGCTGACCATTTCTCAATTGGCAGAAATTGCCCCATCTCACCTCTGGGCTCCTGGGCTGAAATCAGCCATTTCCCCCTCCCCAAAGATGTTCACCTACTGGATGGAGAGGGAAAAATGTATTGTTGGCTTTGCAGCCCTCTTCATAGCAGCCATTGATTTTAGGAGGGAAAATCACTGGATAAATGCAAACAGCATAACTAAAAGCATGCACTGGATGGCATAGCACTCTTTGTTGGACAACTGGGGGAAATAAGTTTGGTTCATGCTATTCTCAGTGTTTTGAGATTGGTGGCAATAAAGATGACCATGGATTTCAAACTGCTTGTGAGGGATGGGGAAGTGGAAATATGGAAATGCCCCCATCTCTTTTGTTCTCTTTGTGCAAAGTGAAGAATGAGAGGCAAACAGATGAATTTGTGGGGTGAGAGTCTTGATTAAGAGCACAGAGCTTAGAAAACCTTGTGACAGTTACTTTTACTGCCATGTTATATGCTCAAGATTATAAACTTCCCTTTCTACGCTGTGCATTTCTCTTTCTCTCTTTCTTAGCTGTCATTAGGTCATGGCAAAGGGAGTGAGAGTGACAAAAAAATGTTCAGTGGCAAATATTAATAGAGCCTGTCTCCTCACTGTGTGGGTAATTGATGTCTGGCTTCTATGTGTTTTATTTTTATTTTTTATATTGTGTATTGTGTGTATTTTTATTTATTTTATTGTAAGCCACCTAGAGTTACTTATGTGAGATGGGCGGCTATATAAATTGAATGAATGGATAAATAAATAAATAAAGTTCATCAAGAAAAGTGGAAATGGAGGAGGCATTCCAACTCTAGCTGACCTTACCGAAGAAAACAGTGTGTCTCCTGGAATCTATACAAACAGGATTTTAAGGAATCCACTGTGCATTCCTTATTATTACTGTATTGGCAGTAAATAAAATGTAATTCTGAATGGCTTGATCAAATGAAATACTGTAAGAAGAAATGAAGGTATGGGGGATGACATATGTAGATGTCTGTCCTGCAATTTTTGATGGGTTTTTTTGTACCTATGATTGCCAGGAGAATCTGTATTTAATTTGAAAAAGGAAGCCTGAGATCATCCTGTATGGTGGCCATCATGAAATGATTTCCTAAATATGGTGCTGCTGGCTACTAGGTGCTCGCCAAAGGATCCTTGGGGGTGGGGGATTTACCTGACAAGCTAATAAGTATAAATCCAGTCCCCTGTGAGTGAGGGCCTATAAATCTCAAAGTGTCCTCTGTTGCCTCACATTTCATTTTAGGAAAAGAACTGGGAAGCTTGAATAACAGTTGATTGGAGGAATAGTTAGGATAGGAATTTGGATAAGAAAACAAGAAGATACATGGGTGACATACAGTATAACTTCTTTTTCATGCTCATATGAGACAGAATTAAGAGCACACAGCTTATGTTGATTTACACAGGAAAATCATGACATTAAGTGCAGCAACCGAATTACTGATTGCAAAGCCTTGATGAACTTCAAGGATAGACCAATCAGTCACTAAGTCCACACTGGCATTTTTCAAATTTAGAAAAATGAAATGAAGGTATTTTTTTCCTCAACACCTTTTCTGCCTTTCTGGAGCCCTCATTCTTAAATCTGCAGGAATGTCCAGATTAATTTCTGCTCTCTTCAGAGGGAATCCTGCTTTGCCTTAGAGAACCACTGAACTTTTGATTCTCCTTGGTATCAAGCTTAAAAAGAGCACATCCCTAGATATTTCCATGGATTTTCATAAGGGGGAGGTTGTCTTCACTGAATCTGATTCTGTTATCTTGTCGATTAATCACATGCTTAATGACAAGCCCCTATGTGTTCTTGTGGCAAAATTAACTTCCTTCCTTCCTCCCTCCCTCCCTCCCTCCTTCCTTGGTGGTAGTGTTGGGGTTTCCTGCATGAGTTGTCATCATTGTCTTATCAGGCATATTTCTAGATACCATTGTTAAATCAAAGAGGGTCATGGTTATCATATGTATGACGTTAGAAACCTATCTAAGTGTAAACATTTTCAGTATGAACTTGCTTTTAGATAGTGTTGTAATAATATTTTCATTATGCTTAGTCTATAAATGGCAGAAACTTTGTAAGATGATTCATATTCTTCCTTCAAGTCTGATTATTATTATTATTCTCTTGGGGAAAACACACCTTGAATCTCAACTCTATCTTACTAGACTGCATCTCGTACAAAACAGATTTTTGAAAAGTTTATCTTACTGGGTGTGGGGGAAAGGTAACAAATGGAAGACATGTAAAATTATGTGAATGAGGCAGAAAAACTCCTTGATAAAAACATTGCCTGAAAGTTCCCAAACTCTTCTTTTTGTGCTTTTACTTCACTGTAATTATTTCACTTGCTTGCTGATTCTCCTGCATTTAGTTGTTTTATAAGCCTCACCTTCCAGTGGGATGACATTTTTTATTTCTAAGCTGAAGATAGCAGTTTAAATATATACTGTAAATGCTTTTCAAAGTGGTAAGCAATGTGACACCTTGGCACCTGCCAGGTTCCCTATCACATGTTATTTTTTGGGGAAAAAATACTTTAAAAAAACAAACAAAAACAAAATTGGAAGTAAGGGTGATTCAAAGTAATGGGCCTCACTCTAAATCATTTTTATTTACAAGAGTGTCACACGGGCCTTCTTAAAAGCAGAAATAGTAAGTGGTTATGGTTGGGTGCTTTGTTTGGAAGTGTTTTCCTGCCCATAAAAAAGACAATGTTCTTGCTTTTGCTGGAGAACATTCTGTGGGGTGAGTGGAATGATGGGGAGCAACCTTACCCACTTCCCTTCCAGAAAATAATACCACCATAGCTTGGATTTTATCATATTTAATAATTGTATTTTATGCTGCATTATTTATGTTTTTATTGGTTTTAAATTGTT